GCTGAGTTGTGTTCAGTCCAATGTTCAAGACAGCGTCGCTGAATATGAACCCGTGTCGCCAGACTCCTCAATTATCTCACGCCTACTTTCCTGTGGGACGTACTCCCAATTAAACGAAAGGATTGTCTAGTACCATTAGCTGCACTTTCCTATCCACTACTTCTCGGGGGCATTCCTCAGGTCCTTGATGAGCTGGCTTTTAAGGGGTTAAAATGCCAGCAGAAGAAACCCGTGAAGACTAGCTTGCTTGCGTTTCGGTAAAGCCTAGCTAGTCAGTTGTCTTTAGCTGAAACCCAACCAAGTGTTGATCATCAGCTAGATACGAAGAACGTTTCAACTAGTGGGGCTTACTCATCTGTTCGGTGCAACAATGAATTCTCCTGATATATATATGTATATATATATATATATATACATTATATATGCTTGGACTACGAGCGCCGAAACGCAGTCGATAACCTCCGTTCGATGGATGTGCTCCTGGCTCAAATTTCGGGCAAAACTATTCGCACAGCAGCACGCACTTTCAATTTCGATAATCCGCAGTTAGCGATCAACCCGAGGATTTGCTGAATGCCTATTGACGAACTTCGAAGGGACAGCCGAAATGGTCCGATGCGTAAGCGTGACGATTGGAAACATTCAATTAGTCTGGTTCATCACATTCCTCCGGTTAAACCAAATGATAGTATAAAGCAAGCCCTTTCATCTTTCTCTGATCTAGAATAGATGATAGAACTCTTTCAAGGACCCGGAACATTTGGGCAGCGGCCTCGAACCCGTGCATCACCAACAATTTGGGACAACCTAAGCATACCACCTGACTCCATCAATTACCAACCTACAATTCCTGCCTCACTGAATTGTTATTTCTCAATAGACGTCTTCTCTCACTCAAATTAAGGTTTTCGCCAGACGTATTAGGATCTTTGAAATTTTTCTCTAATTGTCGTAGAACCACGTGATGGAATTGCAAAGAATTGGATTAGCAAAGTTCGGCTAGATAGTGCAGTCCTTAGCAGACTAATCCCATCTAAATCTTTGATGAGAATAATAATAATATAATGCATCTGATAGTACACAAGACTGCGGAGGGCAGATCCTAATGAATTGTGCTAATATTTCGCCGTGAAAAATCGAGGAAGTCATACTAGCGGCAGGTTGGTCAGATGCATGCAGTGACCAAACTTACCTGTAAGAAGTTAAACGTTCCACCGAGAGGCTTAATCACCTGATCTAGGATTCCAAGGTTGGTCGTCGTAGTGTCCGTAAACTCAGGAGTATTGGACTCGGGTGCACTGGAAAAGTCACCTCGGGTGGGCGTCGACGGTGCGTGCTCAAGCGCTTGATCCGCTGTGGCACTAACTTTCACTGGTTGCTCAATATCACGCTCATGGGCCTCGTAAGGATGTTCTTCATGAACGGAAGACACCACCGACGCGGGGCGACTGGGCAACCCCATAGATCGCTGAACAGACGATGTCGCGAGTAGCCGGAAACACAGAATGCGAGCATCCTTGTACGTGAACTTTTTATGCGAGCCATCAAAGTCACTAGGTAGTGGTATGGGTACGGAACGACCGAGAACAAAGTTATTGATATGTTCGGCTGCGGCGCTTAATGAAGGTTGTTGCTGTAAAAACGATGTAACATCAGACAATGCGGCAGTGCTCGTCCCGGGCCAGTTATCAAGTACCGGTGCGGTAGTGAGATTCCGCAGTACGTCCAGTAACTTCAAATGATTTTCCGAAGAAGCCCTTGTTATAGCCATGCGAACTGGAGCAATGTCTAATGCGTTCAAAAGCCGCATCAAACAAGCATGCGTGTGCAAGAAGGACAACGTATGGCGCTCATGAGCAACAGCTAGTTGGGACTCTTCATACTTCACAGATTGCTCAATTGCATCCAGTAGTTCTTTTGACTGTGTGATGAACTCTTGCATTGCGTTGATGGTCTGTAATACGCCTTCATAACTATCGACTGCCTTCCGCTGCTCGTCGTTCAACGCTTCCCCCCTGGCGAGTTTATCCCGGTAGGCATCGAGTTTACTCTAACAAATAAAATAATAAACAACTGTAAACCACCTTTCTCTTTGCAAGATTTCGCTGCTTCCGCTCGAAATTGGAGATGAATTGCTTCACGAGTTCCAACGGTGTAGCAACAGCAGCCATGCTTCGCCCGAGGTCACAGTAGCGCGCGCAAACAAGTGGGGCGAGTTCAAAGAAGTCGAAATATCGAAGGTAATGTCTATAATCCCACTTCATAGCATGATAGATATTTCTAATTCCTGAGTTGTTTTAATTCTGCGTTTATTATCTTGATATTCTATACGACTTGGTGAACTTTTCGCGGCACTTTAGAATTGTCTCTGCTTGAGGGAACTTGACTGCGCTATACCAAGCAACTTCTGGTTCAGTCTATTTCGATTCGCAGGACGTAGCGGTGCCATGTCAAATTCTCCAGCTTCTTGCACTGATGGGCTCCGTGGACACCCCAGTGCTGTGACAAAAGAAAGAGAAAAGTATTCTCCAATTGAACGTATAGTATAAAAACAACCACAGTGGGTTCCCGTTCTCATATCTCTAGTTTGATGGGTTTTATCGGGAATGAAGTTGTGGCTTGCGTACTCATGGAAAAACCAAACCATCAATTAGAACTGGAGGTATAGATCAATATATGTTATAGATCAATGAATTAACAAACTCTGCTCCCTCGTCCACGACATCCAGGCAAGGTGCGTGTAACATGTCACGGACAGTTGGTAGGTGCCCCCGCGATTCGCAGGAACCTATACAACGGAGGAAGCTCCTTCCGAGATCTCAGTGCCTTATTGCTGTCATTCTTCCGGAGGCTGAGGTCATCATTGCCCAGGCTCGCCTGGACCCCGACCTGCAGCCGCTGAGGTGGTACATGGTTACCTTGTTCGATGGCGACGAGGTGGAACAAGCAGCATCGATCAGAGTAAAAGCGGCATTCAGGCTTGGAAAACCCCGCCAGGATAATTCTCCACGACCACTGAAAGTGGAGCTGTATAAAATAAAACAAGTGCGCTGTATTCATTCATACAACACTTTTTCAACGCGCATGTTCGATGTGCTTATTTTAATTCACTTCTGATCTATTGGTCTATCCTGACGACGGCACTACACTTTAGGGGTGCTGGTGGCGCAGTGGTTTAGTCGCTGTCACCGCCGTGCTTTGGACCCTGTTGTCTGAGGTTCGAGCCCCGCCACCGCCACCCGAATTGGAGATAGGGGGCTCTGCTGTCGTCCGGTTCAATACCACGCCTAACCTATCGAGGCTTTATGTGGTTCGCCACTTGGGTTCCCGGTTTCCATCACGCAACAGCAGGTCCTCGTGACGATGGGGTTCGTCTCGGCTGCTATTCATTACACTTAGGTGTATTAGTAAAAAATACTCGTCCCACTAAATTTTCTCCTCATTCCTCTCTACCTCTGTCGTCCATTTGCACGTTGAATAAAGCATAGATATCGGGCCTGTTTTCTCTCTGTTCAACGACTGCTTCAATCGTCTCTCACATCAATTTATTCGACACGCAAATTATCCAAAAATGGAACGCTACCTCCTACCCGAAAGGTTCGATATGGACCCGAACACTCCTAATTCTTCGAAAATACGGCGGCATCGGTTTTGTATCTTCGACAGATTTCTTACCAAAACTGGGATTGGAGATCCCGAAAAATCAAATTTACTACGCAATTACATTTTTCCAACTATCTATGACCGTGTTGCGGATTGCACGTCATACAGTGATGCTGTGCACCCCTGGAAAAGCTGTTTATCAAGCCGCCAAATTAGGTTGTTCGACTGGTATCTACTGGCCACCTGCAAACAGGAACCACGGCAAATTTTTCGATTAGTTCTCACAGAAGCTCAAATCCTTAGCCAACGATTGTAACTTAAAGGCCGTAACGGCGCAACAAAATCAGAATAACGCCGCATGAAATGCCTTTATAAGCGGGATGCAGCCAAGCCTTGTGCAAGTGTCTGCTGAAAAACAGCTATCTGGACCTACCGCCTTAGAACTAGCTCGATCACTTGAGATGGCACAACAGTCAAGTGCATTTCAGACACCACCAATGTAGTGTATTGCAGAAGCCTCAGGCATAATTCACTTCCCGGGTAGCCTCCATTTCAGACGGAGGACTGATGTCAACTGACAGAACTTACCTAGTTGAGGTGTATCGGGAGATTTTGTGTCGACTGAGGCCAGCTGAGTTGTGTTCAGTCCAATGTTCAAGACAGCGTCGCTGAATATGAACCCGTGTCGCCAGACTCCTCAATTATCTCACGCCTACTTTCCTGTGGGACGTACTCCCAATTAAACGAAAGGATTGTCTAGTACCATTAGCTGCACTTTCCTATCCACTACTTCTCGGGGGCATTCCTCAGGTCCTTGATGAGCTGGCTTTTAAGGGGTTAAAATGCCAGCAGAAGAAACCCGTGAAGACTAGCTTGCTTGCGTTTCGGTAAAGCCTAGCTAGTCAGTTGTCTTTAGCTGAAACCCAACCAAGTGTTGATCATCAGCTAGATACGAAGAACGTTTCAACTAGTGGGGCTTACTCATCTGTTCGGTGCAACAATGAATTCTCCTGATATATATATGTATATATATATATATATATATATATACATATACATTATATATGCTTGGACTACGAGCGCCGAAACGCAGTCGATAACCTCCGTTCGATGGATGTGCTCCTGGCTCAAATTTCGGGCAAAACTATTCGCACAGCAGCACGCACTTTCAATTTCGATAATCCGCAGTTAGCGATCAACCCGAGGATTTGCCTAATGAACTAACCTGTACCTGAATTCACTTGTACCCATTTTATGATTCTTCACAGCCGACATCCTGACTTAACGTCTTCATGTACACAGTACACTTTTCGAGTTTAAAAGCTCATGAAGTGGAATGGAATCCTCATGGTG